GCTGTCACCCCAATTTAGGGTGGGTCACCTTCTGCGGCCCGCACCCCCCCAGGTGACCCCACTGCCACTCCCTGAGGGGGCTCCCCAGCCCTTCCAAGGGTTACCCCAAGATATTTCACCCCAAAACCTGGGGGTCCACTCAACTCACTCACTCACCAAGGGAAGGAATCCCCCCCAGCTCTCGCACCTGGGTGCGGCTGCCCCCTTCGGTGCAGCAGTTGCCCAGGATGCTGAGGGCCAGGTCCAAGGTCCTCCTGGGCCTTGGGGCGCCGGCCAGGACCGCCAAGAGAGGGGCCAGCCCCCCACGGTCCCTGAAGCGAGCAATGCCCCCGGCTTCCTTGATGTGTTGGGTCCTGAGGGCTAGCAAGGCCTTGCCCAGGCCCGGCTCCGTCCCTTTATGCAGCTGGGCCAAGCAGTAGCCCAGGGAACCCGTGGAAGGGCCGCCCCCGGCTCCCCTTGGAACAGGAGCCGCCATTTTGGGGAGAAGCCCAAAAGGGCTAAGAAAATGGGGGGGGTCAAGCCGTCCAAGGCCGCTGGGCACTGTGGGAATTGTCGTTCTTTGCCTAATGACAGTTGAGGGGAGGACTACAGGTCCCGTGATGCATCTCGGTGAAAACGCGGTGCATGATGGTCACCGTAGTCTCTTCGCCTTCCGTTGTCTTATTAGCTATAGAAGAAAGGACTCGTTTCCCATAGTGCTACGCGGCAGAGATTGGTTGACGTAAAGGGATGGAGCAAGGCATGATGGGAGTTAAAGGTCTTTTATTACGATGCCCGCTAGGGGCGCTGTTCTTAGATCAGGGTTTGTTGGGAAGATATTGAGCAAAATAGAACAAAATGCAATACTTGCACAAGAAAGGAATACTTTTCTTGGCCAGCCCAAAGGATGACCTTTTCCGTGCCTTTTGTTTGGTGGAGCTTGGAAAGCTTGCATAAAGTGTTTTGTGTATTTGGGCTGGGCAAAAAATTCTAGTACTGAATTAGTGTTTAGAGAGAAGGGGCTGATGGGAATTGTAGTTTCAGGCAGGAGTATGTTTTGTACACGTAGGCCATTATTTGCAGTCAGGTTTCCTGTTTTGCTTGCAAAGAAGGACGAGGAAGGAATTTTTTTAATGGATTTTCTCGCGAGCTTTGAATGAAGCAAAAAGAAAAAAGAAGAAGCCAAAAATATGATTTCTTGTTACAGAAGCATTTGTAGATTTTTCCTTGCTGAGGTTGAAATGAGCAAAAGAATTGCATCATGCATGTGTATAGTAACAAAATACCAAAAATAGCATGGTTTATTCCCCGAAAAACTATAGATTTCAGGCTTTGGAACCTGGAAAAGTTACTTTGGGGATTGCAGCTCCCAAAATTTTCCAGCTACCTAATGGGAGTCTGGGAGTTGTAGTCCCCCCCCTAAAAAATAAACGTACCAAAGTAGATTTAGAGAAAAGGAGGAAAGAGAGAAAGGATCTTGGGTCTAATCTGCACTGCAGAAATAATGCAGTTTGACACTGCTTTTCAGTGCCATGGTTCCATCCTATGGGATCCTGGGATTTGTAGTTTGTTGGGGCACCAGGGCTCTGTGACAGGGAAGCCTAAATATGTCACAAAGCTACAAATCCCAGAATTCTATAGCATTGAGCCATTGCAGTTAAAGCGGTGCCAAACCATTATTTCAGCAGTACAGATTCGACCCATCAATCCTATTCATGCTTATTCAGAGTTAAATCCCAATGTACTTATCAGTAGGATTTCTCCCCCAGTGCAGTCCTATTTCTGTTTACTCAGAGAAGCCCCATTCATTGCATTCAATGGGGCTTTCTCCCAGCTAGGATTTTAATCTCAGCATCTTTCAGCTACTCCCACCCATCTGGATTTATATGTCTTCAAATCACCTGTCGACTTATGGCAACCTCTTTAGTTTTTTCATAGGATTTTCATAGCCAAAGAATACTCAGAGGTGGTTTTGCCAGTTCTGTTTTGTGTGTTGTGTGCCTTCAAGTCGTTTCCGACATATGGCGACCCTAAAGCAAACCTGCTGTGGAATTTTCTTGGCAAGATTTGTTCATAGGGGATTGGACTTTGCCTTCCTGAGGCTGAGAGAGTGTGACTTGGCCAAAGTCACCCAGTGGGTTTCATGGCCATGCTGAGAATCAAACCCTGTAGTCCAGCACTTTAACTACACTATCCTGGCTTCTAAATGGTTTATTTACATCTATATGACATACCCTGTATTTTATTGAGTTTGTTGTTGTTGTGTGTCTTCAAGTCATTTCCAACTTATGGCAACCCTAAGGCAACCCTACCATGTGGTTTTCTTGGCAAGATTTGTTCAGAGGAGGTTTGTCATTGCATTCCCATGAGGCTGGGAAAGTGTTGCCGGTCTCCCATCCAAGTACAGTGGACCCTTGGTGTCTGCTGGAGTTTGGTTCCAGGATCCCCCGTGGAAACTAAAATCCATGGATGCTCAAGTCTCACTAAATGTAATAGTGTTCCTTATATAAAATGGCAAAACCAGGATTTGCTTTTGGAATTTACAATGGGCCCTTGGTATCTGCTAGGGTTTGGTTCCAGGACCCCCAGTGAATACCAAAATCCATAGATGCTCTCATTAAATACAATGGCATAGTAGAATGGAGTCCCTTATATAAAATGGCAAAATGAAGCTTTGCTTTTTGGAATTTATACATTTTAAAAATATTTTCAATCTGTTGATGCTTGAGTCTGTTGATAATAAATCCATGGACACAGAGGGCTGACTATATTTATTTATTTATTTTAATTCCAAGCTGTGGCTAGTTGGATCTATGGATAAGAAATCCATGGATGCAGAGGGCTGACTGTATTTATTTTTAAAGTATTTTCAAGCCATGGATAGTTGGATCTGTGGATAAGAAATCCATGATTACTAAGAGCTAACTGTACTAACCAGTGCTGATCCTATTTAGCTTCCAAGATTAGATGGGATCTGGTGTCCATAGGGCATTAGACCCATCTGCATCAGAAATTTTCATCTAGGAGGGAAACTCCAAGAAATGAATCCCTCTCACAAATGAATCGCTTGTGCAACTGTTCAACCCTAGACACAATGGACCTTGAGAAACTGGTCCAGGACAATGTCTCCTTGCTGGAAGAAAACCCCTTTGCAGGGATCAACCTGGCTATATCTCCTAGTCAACTAGCTTCAGCTGGAGGAATAGAGACATCTTCATTTTCAGGCAACAAGGAGGACACTTGAAGAACCTTGAAAACAGAGAGCTGATGAAAGTGTAAACTTCAGCTATCTGCAGCTAGCATTATAGTGACACTTGTCTGGATGGATTATGAAGGAGACAATGGGTAAATGGTGGAGGTGGGGGGGGGGAATAACAGCAGAAAAGAGTTTTTGCAAGAGACATCAAGGTAACATTTCCCCAAAACACAAGTCAGATGTTCTTCGTGACCAGGATGACATTATCAATAGGACAATCTGTTGGCTAAACATGAAAGGGGAACATCACTTATAGGATGCTGTTTTTCTAAGTTCTTTCACTACTGTGGCCTGTTTCAGACAAACACAAAAGGTACACAGTGAGGAGAACATAATGTTGGCATAGTGTTTGAATCGGACTTGTACGCACGTAGGCCAAGCTACATAGTGGCTAATATAACCAACATCTAGGAAACAATAACTTGACCTGGATCTACACATGGAGTGGATTTTATGTATGCCATTGTGGGTGAAATGATGTGAGACAGACTTATTGGAAATCGTCATCATCCTCATCCTCATCGTCATGATCAATGTATTTCATTTATTATCCAGTATAATGGTTTGAGTGTTGGGCTAGGATACTGGGAGACCAGGGTTAGAATCCTGGCTTGACCACAGAAACCTACTGGGAAACTTGTCAAGAAAACCCTATGATAGGGTTGCTATAAGTTAGAAACAACTTGAAGGCGTACAACAACAACAATTTTATTTGTATTCTCCTGATATAGGGACTCAAAGCAGCTACCAACAAATTTAAAACAATACAAATAAAAACAATATAAAAGCATTAAAATGTAGACACAAAGTTTAAAAAAACAATTTTACCAAGTTAAAAATGTTACACATTAACAATTAAAATGTGTTAAAAACTCTAAAACACATAAAAGCATTCTAAAAACACCTTGTCACTTTCGACAACTCCAAGAGTAGACCGACTTATGGAAGTTGGTGAGCGGTGGCAGGATATTATCCCACTCTGGCACTTATCCAAATGAGGGACCGACCATATATATTGTCAAAAAGCGTGTGAACCAAATAGATCCTTTGGTTGTGATCATTTCAGGTGTAGCAACGTCTACGTTCAAGAATGATCAGAGTGGGCTGAGAAAGTGTTTGTGATATATATAGATATATATATAGATATATATATGTGCTTCATGTAACCTGAGCCAGTCTTCCCCAAATCTTTAGATGGCTGTATCACAACTTTCATCATCCTCATTCAGCACACTGGTGGCTGTGGCTGTTTTTGTCCACATCAGGAAAGAGCTGGGTTGGGGAAGACAGATCTATGCTCTGATCATTGCTAATTTTGATGCTCCTTCATATAGAGAAAACGAGATGATTTTAGGCAAATGTACAAATAAGACAGCAGAAGCTCATGGTTGACAGTGGCTATCACCTAACCTCTTTGGGCAGCTGCTATGGCCCCCATTGCACAGATGAAGCCCACCGACACTAATGGACTACACTACACCATCCCATCCACTCACTTCACTGGGTTCAGGTTTGTCAAGTGACACTGGCTAGAAGTTGGGAACCCATTGTTTTCCTGCCCCCAAAATCCTGCAAAGCAACTTCCTCTTGTGACATATACACACATTCAAGAATCAGAGTGGTGTAGTGGTTTGAGCGTTGGACTAGGATGTTGAGAGACTAGGGTTCGAATCCCAACTCTGCCACGGAAACCCACTGGGTGACCTTGGGCGAGTCACACTCTCTCAGCCTAAGAGTATGGCAATGGCAAATCACCTCTGAAGAAACTTGCCAAGAAAACCCCATAATAGGCGAATGCCTTAGGGTTGTCACAGTCGAAAATGACTTAAGTTGAAGGCACAAAACCACCACCACCACAAGACACATTCAGGCTGGGAGCTTGCATGTGCCTGGCAAAGATCACGTTGCTGCTCCTGCCTACCATGCATTTGGGTAGGATGGCTGCAGGCTGTGGCTCTTAGAAAGGCTGCAGTCCTTCAGCACATGATGCTGAATTTACAGGAACAGCACGTCTCCTTTCTCTGCTGTCTCCCCTCCTCCAATTTCTCTGCTATTTATCCCTCAGTTTCTTTGGGGTGCTAACTTATTGTAGATGGTTTTATTTTTAATGTGGGCAACATTTAGAAGTGACATCCCAGACTAGTACAGTTGGCCCTCCACATTTGCGGCTTTGACTTTTGATTATTTGCGGTTTTGATTAATATGTTCTCTCTAGGAATCTCTGGGTCCTCCAGTGCCACATTGCCAGAAGTTCACCATAGAGTTGTGCTGGAGAACCTTAGAGTTGCTTGAGAAACCACTTCTCTAGGCATTTGTAGGTCCTCCAGCATGATTCTGTGATCAACTTCTGGCAGATGTTGACCATACAATTGCACTGGAGGACCTGGAGATTCCTAGAGAGGTGTTCTCTTAGGTAAAAAGAATAGTGTTTTTTTATTTGTGGTTTTTCCACATTCACGGGGGTCCTTCATCCCTGACCCCAGCGAATGTGGAGGGACCACTGTACAGTATGGTCCATGGCTTCATTCTGTTTTCACATATAGCCTGACCATTGTCTGAGGCTGCTACCCCAATACAGAATTAATGCAGTTGACATCACTTTTAACTGTCATGACTCCATCCTATGGAATCATGGGATTTGTAGTTTGGTGGGACACCAGACCTCTCTGATAAAGAAAGCTAAATATCCCTACAAACTACAAAACCCTGATTTCCATAGCCATGGCTGCTGAAGCAGTGTCAAACTGCATTAATTCTGTAGTGTAGTTGCAGCCTAAATTATATTTGTTTTCATCAGTGATGGGCAAATGCAGGCCTGAAGGCTGTTTTTGCAACCCCAAACACCCCACAAATTTCTCTAAAGTGTGATTTTTCTGGTTAAAAGAAAAGAAGATGTATTAATAATTTCTCATGAAGTAGCAATTCACCTTTTCAATAGGTTACTATTTCCTAATAGTACTATTCAACTTCTAAAATTACCAGTTTTTCAAAACCAGAAGTGGATATTGGGGCATGGCTAGTTTTTTTCTTCATCATTTTTCACCATTGTTGACAGTCCAGGCAGCTCTGAAAAGGCTCTAAAACATCCCACCCCATCTCAAAGTCAGTCATTCTAGTCTTAATATTATCTTCTTTTTCCACTCAGGACAACATAGAGGATTCCTTCCCCTGTTTTCTATCCTCACAGTAAGTTGAAAAGTTGAAATGTAGTAATGCCAGGCCACCCAAGGGATTTTGTGAGGTACCAGTGGTGCTGTAGGCTATATTTCAGTGGAAGGAACTGGCAAAACCACCTCTGAGTATCCCTTGCCTAAGAAAACCCTATGGAATTCATGGGGTCGCCATGTGCCGACAGATGACTTGAAGGCACATATACACACAAACAGTGATTTAAATCCTTCATTCTGACTTCAACATCCACTCTCATGTCCACGCTCAGGCCCATTGACACTACACAATTATAACACTATTATTCCACTTTTAATGCCATGGCAACACTGTGTTGAAACCTGGGATTTGCAGTTTAG